AGAGCGTATGTCTAGACGACCCTCTGAGAAATCTCCCTCTGTGGCCTTACTGAGCTTTTGCAGTGCCACAGAGACTGATGATGTCAGCCATTTCCGAAACTGAACCATGCTTCCCACGGCTCAGTTAGCTGAGACAGGCGATCCGGGTGGAGGCAGTGGATTGGAACTTTGTTCTGAGACCACTGAATGCACACATCTGCATACACCTGTTCTTACACACACGTGCACAGATGTGCTTTTGGGAAAGGCTGAACACTGATTTTGCATAATTGTGTTTTAAGTCTGTTTTCGTTAGCATAAATGAGGTTTTCCTTTTTGACTTCTGCGTGAAGCTCAGAATGAAATGTAACAAAGACTGGTACAATTCCCCTGCTGTACCCATAGGAATTCAATTAGAGAGAACTTCATCAGCATGTTGGCCTGCACAGGCATTCTGCAGGTCTGACAGAGTGGATCCTCTTTACATTAAACGAAATCCAAATTTACCCAAATCTTTCCACAGTGGAGGTGTTAGCGTGCTGCCACATGAGACAGAGGAGGGCACATTTAATTTCCATGAGCTCTGGAACCCCTCTTACTGACTTCAGCAGTTAGGAAACAGTAAGCCCGCAATGATGGTGTTTGTTCTGCTTTTCTCTGCTCTTGGTGTTTCAGGTTCTTTAGTAGTACAGTGGAAGTTACTGCAGTGAAGTTCCTGAAGTAACACATTTCTCCTGCTGACCTGAGGACCTACTGGGTAGTTCTACACTGGAGGGTTAAACACAAGCTTAGGAATAGGAGAAAGTATTCTAGTCCCTTCTACTTCATGTCTGTTTTGCTGGGTGTTAGCGTAGCAGTCATTCAGACTTGAGGTGAGACTCATCTCACCCAAGATTAGCTGTTTGCAGTGCCTGACTTTGGTATTTTTTTTTTGTGGATGTTTAGTTTTAAGTGGAATGGTCCATGACATGTGCATGCATGTTTTTCCCAAGTAGGTGTTCACGGACTTGAGGGTGAGTAGGACAGATATGAGTATCAACAATTTGGACACATGTATATGGCCAAGTAAATTCTACTAGAATGTTGCTTCCATACTAATAAATTAAACATGCCTAGTACTGTTCTTGGCCTTGAGGCCAGCTGAGGTGGAGAGGCTTACTTCCATGCAGTGCCTGTCTCACCCTCCAAAACAGAGTGGCTCTGTGCAGACTTTTTATTAGGAGTGGCCTCTGGTCCCTGCTAACTAATTCTTGAACTATGCACAAGAGTTATTTGGGAGAGTACTTCTGGCACAGACCAAAGCCATTCCAAAGCTAAGGTAGGCACTGTCTGTTTAGGGAGAATGGAGCCAGTGAACTTGGTGGAAGCATTTCCTGTCCCATTTTCTCCTGCAGACCACAGAAATGAAAGGGTGGGTCTGTGCCATAATGTCTTTTGGCTCTTCCCTAAAGAGCCTTAGGTTAAACTTGGTGATGGAATAAAGACTTGCAGCATGGAAGATTGACTGCATTTGGTGTTCACTAGTCCCTTACCTGACAGATAGACAAAGCCTTTCTTGTAGTCCCAGAGGAGGTAATTGTGTTAGGGATGTACCCTGAATGATGCCTGACTTATAATCATGATACCACACCATACTATCACTGAGGGAGATAGAGATGACTAGACTGGAACTTCCATCATGATATGGCCCAGGACTTAATACGTGTGGTGGGGGTATGGATTAAAACTAACACTTCCCTCCCCTCCACCACTCTAAAGTGATGAGCACTGAGAAACATGATGGATCATCAGCACAAAAAATACATCAAACATGGCTTTGAAACATCTCAATGTTGGAAGTTTCCAGTTGGGTAGTTGCCTGTTACAAAAGGCGTACAGTTTAAGCAACTGCTGTATTGAAAGATTGTTAAATTATGAATTCACATCTCTGTCATTACAGCCCTGAGCATTGTAGCTGCCTAGGTATTTCATATTGGAGTATCTAAGCCCAGCCACACAGGGCTTAGTTTGCTGAACAGTGTACGGTATTATCTAATTTAATAACATTAAACTAGGATGCTCTGATAATAATATTATTTGGAAGCTGTTTATTTAATAGTATTTATATTTTGTATGTTGGTTGAATTGGGGAAAGAAAAGAAGAAACTGGGGAGAGCATAGTAGGAAATTGTGCAATGTATTTATCTGAGACCACATCACATGGTCTGCAAAGCATGGCTTTTGCTTTTATACACATAGTCCTGGCGACTCTCCCACTAGCAACAATAGTGCTCAGACTCATACTGATGTCACTGCTGAGTTATTTAATTTGACTGAATGAGATTAATGTGTTTATTTAAAACCTTGGTCAAAATGGAAAAGAAAATCTCTGGACAATACTTTTACTTGAACATGTATGTTTTTGTATCTGTTGATTGCAATGTTGCATTAACTTATCAGGAGCAGTTGTTTACACAGAGTAATGCCCGGGAGACCCCTCAGATAAGAAGTGTGAGCCATTTTCCTTCTCAGCCTGGAGCAGAGACTTTTGCACCACTAGTGGTCCCATGGGCTTTCACCCCAGGCTCTCCTCGCTTCCTGTTGCTGCTTTCAGGGCTGATCCACAGAGATCCCAGCATTATTTCATTTGTTGCATGAGGATGGGGTTTGGTGCTGCTGAGCAATGACAGCAGTGCCGTGGTGGATCCTCCACAGGTTCTCACCGGGGTAGTGAGTGTCAGACACCTCCACTGCACAGAATGCCTAGATGAGGCTGGCAGTGGGCTTTGTAGTCTAAGCCTGCTCCCACAAAGGCTGGAGACTGCTTGCCTAAATTCTATCCACTTATGTTTTACAAGCAGCTTGAGGTTTTTTTTTCCTGTGATAAATCATTCTGACCTTACTTCATTTTCACATGTACCTTCTAAGTGTTTGGAATAGACTTCAGTTTTGACTAAGAGGCATTAGTAACTACCCAGCTAAATGCTCCAGTTCATTGGATTTTTATTAATGCAGAGCAGGAGAAAAACCTGGAATCTGAAGTTTCTTTTTGCATGGTGGGACAAGTTTGGGCTATTCTGTGGAACTGTTCATTTATTGCTGAATGGTGTGAGTGGCGGGACTTCTGCCATGCTCTGCCAAGAGCCTCTCTTGACAGCAGAGGACAACTGCACATACACATAGATTGATAATGTAGAAATTGCATAAACCAGAGCTTGATGCCTTGGTGGGTACCTGAAGCAAGATGTACTTGCCCTTCCTTGTAGTTTTGTAGTCCCTCTGTTAATATTTTCCTGTAGTGTCCTGTTCACTGGTGGTTGGAATATGAATCTCTTGGGAGAATACAGCTTCTTCAGGGCCCCATGACGTGCCAAAGAGTCACTTTTATGCATTCTCTTGTGTGAAGCCAAGTGCTTCCATCTCTCTATCTCTCTGGAAGGCTTTGGGGAATTTGAGACCCTGCCCTCATCACTGCTGCTTTCATGGAATAAGGGAAAAAGCTCCTTAGAATCTGTATTTCTCAGGGTGCTGGATATCTTAAAGGGTAATGCAGTGGGGCAGATGAATGGGCATGAAAATGAAACAAGGGCTAGGAGGAGAACAGCTCTGGGGGGTCACTGTTACTCAGCAAACACTGCACGTTGTCTAAGAGGCTTTGATACCCTGGGCCACTTGTGCTTGCCCTGCAGCGTGCTCCAGAGCTGTGTGGTGCTGAGGGTATCAGACTGCTGGGGTATCCAACTCTGACAAGGAGCCAGTCTTTGGGATTGATGTCCTGTCTTAATATGTTGTACTTGTGCCTGAACTCAGTGTCCCAACTCTTGCAACTCTACAAGTGAAACTCTACAAGAGCTGTGCCTTTAAGGAAACTGTAGAATAATATGGTTTGTGAAGCCATGCTGCTCCCAACACCAGGCATTATATCTCTGTCTTCTCAGTGGCTGCATATAAGTAGTGCTGAGGACTATGTCCAGGCCTTTACTGGTGGGGGGACAAGAAAGATCCAAATCTTCCCACAAAGGTGGACTAGAGCAGTCATGGAGCTGCTTACCAGAAGGCATCCATTCAGAAGCTGCCCGCACTCCAGCTTTAGGTGACCTTGTATATTTCAGATCTTTAGACTTGATATGCACAGGGGGTCCAAAGAGTATAATTAAAGCATAAATAGCTTGACGTACAAAGACGAAAACCCATCAAGAACTAAACTCTTTCTTTGGACTTTGTCAGGTTGTAGCAAGTCCTAGCAGAAATAACACAGGAACCATCCAGCACAAACCATGTCCAGAACTTTGTGATTTTCATCCAAAAAACTGTGAACTGGCTAGGCAGACAAGGTTTTTCCCTGGCACGTGGGAAAACATAAATAAACTTAGAGAATAGTGATGTATCTTTAAAGGCACTAAGTGAAATCTGGGAGTAGTTGAATTTTAAATTATTTTTTCAATTAACATCATACAACTCTTGACAGTTGAGTGATACTGGAGAGGCAGAGAGAAAGTTGAAAACAGAAAAACAGTCTACTCAGTACTTGCATAAAATTTGATTTTACAGATGTAATTTTGTAGAGGATGCTTGAGCTGAGCCTACAGTTACCAGCATTTAAAAAAAAAAAAAGTTTTGTTTTTTTTTTGTTTGTTTGTAGTAAATATAACCCCAACCCTGCAGTTTTTTCCCTAGTGCATTAAACTCTAAACACAAACTGAAGTGACTGCTTTCCAAGATCCAACTCTAAAATGAGTGTGGAGGGTAAGGTAATGGGGAGGAAAGGCTTGGACCCAAAATAAACAGCAAAAACAAACAGAAAACCATTGAAAGGCGAGGTTGGACAGAGTCTTGCTTGACATGGTTTAGTGTGAGGTGTCCCTGCCCATGGCAGGGGAGTTGGAACTTGATGATCTTAAGGTCCTTTCCAACCCTAACTGTTCTATGATTCTATGAAAATTAAACACATGTTTTGAATAATTCATCTTTCAAAAGATTTTATTGAAGGAACAATTAAAGAGGTGTGTGAAGCCTAACTATGTGTTGTGTTGCTATTCCAGGCTTCATCAGCAGTATCTTAATGTTTAGAAAGTTCTGAGACCCACCATTTTGGACTACTTGTAACCAGTGCCTGAGACTACAAAAACATACGTGTGGAAGAACCTTTCCGTGAAGGAAGCATCCATCTCAATATTGTGGAAACTCTGTGCAAGCCTTACAAGACGAGGGAGCAATTTGTGCTTCCCCTGACACTCGTGTGTAGTCTCTGCTTCTTATGCACTCCAGCACCCCTATCAGTTCCTTGTTCTCCTTTACCAGCCCTGCAGTGAAAAGGCTGCTGGGCTGGAAACAAGGAGATGAAGAGGAAAAGTGGGCAGAAAAAGCTGTTGATTCCTTGGTGAAGAAGTTAAAGAAGAAAAAAGGTGCCATGGAAGAACTGGAAAGGGCTCTGAGCTGCCCAGGTCAGCCCAGTAAATGTGTCACGATCCCACGTTCCTTGGATGGTCGGCTGCAGGTGTCTCACCGCAAGGGTCTTCCCCACGTCATATACTGCAGAGTGTGGCGCTGGCCTGATTTACAATCTCACCATGAGTTGAAACCATTGGAATGTTGTGAGTTCCCATTTGGCTCAAAACAGAAAGAAGTGTGCATTAACCCCTACCATTACCGGCGGGTGGAAACCCCAGGTAATTATATCATCTGCAGATGTTTCACATCTATTAGCTCTCACACTGGCAGCAGGTCTAGTCTTTGTGCATGCTGTCTAGTTGTGCTCTGAAATCTGAAAAGGCAGGCTCCATTTGATTGAAGGACCCTGGGTCTTTACCTGCCTGGTGACATCACAGCTGTAGCAGTCAGGAGTAAGTGGGGAGTAAGGAGCACCCTGCCCAGTGGGTCAGTATCCAGTTGGACCCCCGAGGACGTCTGGATCTTGTCCAGGGTGCTGAAAGGTCCTTTTCCATGGGCCTGGGTGCTGGCTGCTCTCTGAGCCCTCCCCCTGCAAACTGGTGTCCGCTTGCATGAATTGTGGGTTAGACTTAGCACCCTAGCTAGATTTATGTCTCATTGTTTGAAACCCAGCAATCGACTCATTAATCCACATGAAAAATGTATCACTGTCTCTCTCTTTAAAGATTACAGTTGCAGTAAAATGACTTATTTTGCTGTTGACATGAAACCAGATCAGTTGATTCTTCCTAAAATGCCTGGTGGCTTGCCTTCAGTGGGATTTACTTACCTAAATGTGTAGTTTCTGTGAAATGCCTGAAGTTCACATAAAACTTTGAAGTTTTCCATTGATGAACCTCTTTAGGTTGGACATGGTCAGCATTGAAAACTTATGACCTCGCTTGAAGGGTCATTTAACTGGGCTTTGTGTCAGTGAAATAGCTGTTAAAAAATAATAGTGTTTAGTGTTAACTCCTATAGGGATCATGGAAAGTACGCTGGCAGACAGCTTGAGCAATCATCCTCTTCTCCTCTGCCTCTACTCCCAAATCAAAACAAATTACCAGGTACATTCCTGACAGATCTTTTCCTAATGAGCTCTAAAATCCCATGTGGCAGAAGCTCCACAACCTCCCCAGGCAAGTGAATCTATTGCTTTGCTATCCTTACAGTCCAGAATGATTTCTAATGTTTAACCTAAGTCTCCCTTGCTGCCAAAAATCACAGTAATTTAATTTACTAATGGATATGGTTGGTATGTGTATACTTATTATTCTGTGATTATTCTTTGTCTGGCATGAACTTTACTCTGAGGTGACATTAGGAGCAGATAAGTGAACTGTGGGATGTTTCTTTTCACACATATGAAATAAGGGCATTGGTTAACATTTGTTAAACAACACAGGCTACTCCCTTTTCTGATAATGCCTCCATGGCAGTAGAGCTGTCATTTTGAAGTTGTATCTGAACTGCTGTAAACATTGTCACAACTAAAAAATTGCAGCTGCAGTGAGTTGTCAACAGTTTTCAGTGGAAAGAGCTGATCTCCTGCCTTGCTAAAATAAACTCTTCAAGAACCTAGGAAAAGATGCTCATAAAATTTTTGTGTATCTTTCTCTTTGAAGGCTATAATTCCAGTGTAGTTAATGGAGATTCCTCAGCACAGTAGCTGACAGCACTGTGCAGGGCTGTTTTCAACCCCGGCCTTCTGATCTGTTCAGTGCCAACTAGCAAATGCTAGTACTGGGATAATCCAGCAGGCGCTAAATGGCTGGCAAAGCTTGTTGTTGTGACCCTGAAACTCAGAAGGTTTCAGCTGTGAGCATGTCTCTGTCATTTGTCTGTGCTACAGACAGCTACAACTCTAGTAGTAAATGCGATGGGACCAAGGTGCAGGTCTGAGTATTGCTGAATTGTTGGTGTGGTCCCAGGCACAGCTTTAACCCATATGGACTCACATGTACTAGAAGTTCTCATGGCACAGGGGTTCACCCAAGGGAGAGACTTTGGGTACTTTGGACGTGACCACCTTTTTTTTTTTGGAGGTGAAAGAGAGCACAGCTGCAAGGATGCAAGCTGGGCCTGCCAGTTCTCCATAGGACCCTGAGACTGTTCTTGATCTGTTGTATTCACCCCAGCTGCTCTTATGGGGACAGCTTAGAAGCTGAAGCTCACCTTCCGACTAAAGATGAGGTACAGCAAGAAAGCACAATCTACTCAGGTGTGCTGGAGCAGCAGCAGGAGAGATAACTTACACCACTGCAAATGGCAGTATTGCAGCTCCAGGCCAGAGGCAGTTAGAAGCTGTGCTGCAAAGAGCTGGTGGTGAGACAGGAGAAGAAATGAGCTTGGGGAGAAAGTGGCAGCAGTGAAATCACCACAGAAAAGGCTAGGATCTAAGGCCTGTTTAGAGAAGAGAAGTCTGAAAGGGGATCTCATTAACGCATATAAATATCTCAAAGGTGGGTGCCAGAAGGATGGTGCCAGACTCTTTTTAGTGGTGCCCAGCACAGGACAAGGAACAGTGGGCATAAACTAGGACACAAGAAGTTTCACTTCAGCATGAGGAAGAACTTCACACTGAGGATGGCAAAGCACTGGAACAGGCTGCCCAGAGAGGTTGTGGAGACATTCTTTCCGGAGATGTTCAAAACTCGCCTGGACATGTTCTTATGTCACAGGCTTTGGGCATAGCCAGGTTTCCAGCAAGAACTGTTGCAACTAAAGGGAATTGGAGAAAGTCTGGTGCAGGAAAGGCAGTGGCAGGACTTGAGCCATGACAGTATTTACCTTCAATTGAACAAAGATTATCAACACTTGAGCATGCATAGAAGGAAGCATCCAACCCTGGCTTTCTATGGAGAATAGCAAGTAGAAAAAAAGGACCCCACTGAGTGGACACAACACAGTTGAACTGTGAGGACAAGCAGGTCCCAGTGCACTCAGTCACTCAGTTTTGTGCCTCTGGTCACACTTCCTTCAGAGTGCTGAGCCCTGGAGGGTGACATCTGTTACCAAAAGAACAAAGAGAACAAGGCCCTCTGGGGAATTTTTATCCACAAACAAGAAAATATCTGGATTTCTTACCCACTGCAGAGTCTTTAGCCCTCTAGGCAGCCACAGAGCAGTCACTGGAAAGATTGAATGAGGTGGCAAAAACTGTACAGCAGAGCGTAAATTAAGAGTACCCTGGTCAGAGCTGGGAAGAAGTTCAAGGCTTGAAAATACCTCTTGCTGACTCACTCAGGGCGAGTCAAAGGCTTTCGCTGACAAGTGCTGTTCACACATTCAGATTCTCAGCTTCTATTTAGAGAAGTTGCACTGAGTTCTCACATGGCTGAGGAAAGCCACTTCCTTAGCAATGGTACCCACAGTGAGGTGCCAACCTCCCAGTGCTGCACAGCATTGCTGTAGCACAGCTATCCCATGCACAGCACCTCTGCTGAGTGCAAAGGGATCACCAGTTCGCTGTTTCTAAGGCTGCTGGTCAGAGCTGGCTGAGCAGCAGCAGACCTGGCAAGCATCATACCAGTTCTGTGGAGTAGCAGAGGAAAACTCCAGAAGCAGCAGCTCACAGCCTGGAGCTGCTCACAGGAGTGTGGGATGGGAGGGATCCAGCTCACAAAAAACACATCTGCAGTGGTGGTATCTGTCTTGTCCCAGTATAGAGCAGATTAACTGAGCAGTAAAAGTCTGTTTCTCTCCATTGGCTATGAAGAGATCCATGGAGGACTCGGCAGTTCATCTCATGTGTGAATACATGTGAGTCCTACCTGGAGAGTCTAGGAAATCCAGAAAGCTAAAGAAGCAATAAAAAAGCAGAAATACCTTTCTCTACCAAAGGAATTAAAAGGATGGCAGCAAATTCTTCATTCCACAGGTAGGGGCATATCAGAGGCAGAAGCCTCTGTAGAATTAGTCTCCAGAGCACCACCGTTGTGCTGGCCAGAAGCTAATTAGAAATGCATTGGGCTGGATAAGGGTCTACATATAGTGTCTTGACAGGTATCCCAGTGCCTGTATTTCCAGACAGGTAAGAAGATCTGCAGTGAACCCCTGTCATCAGTCCACTCTTTTGTGTAGCTTTAGGACTCAGTTCTTCAATTCATGAGTGACTTGCAACTTCCCAAATGGTATATACCTGTGGGTAGGCAGGAGCAGGATTTAATCCTGCCCCGGCTGCAGCATAGTGCTACATCAAACAAGAGGTTGTAAACCTCCTGTTGGTACCAGGCACTAGTCCTCCTCCTGCTTAAAGTGCCCCAGCTCTGAGCAGTCAAGTGTGCGCTGAGGGTGCACTCCAATGAGGGTGTTCCTACAGCCTCTTCTCATGCACATGTTTTGCATTATCTGTACATTATTTGCTTTGTAGCAATTATTCCACTCTTTTGTTATGTAAGATAAATGAGAGTTTGCTGTAATTAAAAAGTGTTAGCTAACCTACCCAGACAGAACTTTTGGGACCAAACAGTATGTTAAAACATGTTCAAACCATATATTTCTGACAGCATTTATAACCTAGAGCACACACTGCTGTTTGTTTCCATAAGCTAGTAAGGATAAGACTGAAAGATAATGTGCTGCTGGGGTTTAGGCCAGAGGAACTCTGTACATGAAGGCAATCAATACAAGCTTCTGAATCGTTCCTAGTCTTGGGACAATTCATACTTGTCACAGTAACTCAAATTGCCTCCTTATCTTCTCAGGTGTCTTTTAGATATGCATGATAGTAACTGGGGATTAATTCCCCCTACCTATGTTTAAGGCCTTAACTAAGATAATTAGGCATTATGTGAGTTAGTAACTAATAGAGAAATCTTGGAGTGGCAAGCCTCTTTGTGTTCCAGCCTAGGGGCTCCATCTTTATAGGTAACTCACTAGTTGGGTTTCCTAAAATGTTTTGACTCAGATTCCCCTCTCTCATCTGATATGCCAGTATCCAAAATTATTTGGGTCAATCTTAGGTTCCTCAGTGCAACAATGCTGTTAACAGCACTGATGATACGAGATGTAAGTGAAGAGTGTTTATGAAGAGAGGCGATATCTTCTATTAGACCAAAATTTACATGGATTAATCTGTATTTCAGTTTTCTGACCTGTGTTTTTCATGCCTTAACTACCAACCACTGACATTTGCCTCCTTATGCTAGGTCTTTTCTAATTATACTGCGACAGCTAAATTAGTACTGCTGCAATATTTCAACTGCCATTTACATTTCCTTTTAAAGATCCCACTATCTGGCTGGCAGCCTTTCTGAGTACCTGAAAAGATTTTAAATTAGGTGTCTAGCTCCAGGTCTATGCTTCCTTTGCCCATCTGTGAAACACTGGTAGTAAAGTATTGCAGGGCACTGTTAATTGTTATTAAACTTGGCTGTGGTTTTGGTGATCGTATTTAGGAAACTCCTGACATGCTCAGTCTCTCAGGACAGAAGGAACAGGTAACTTTGAGAAAGAGAAATGTGCCACTTGCATTTCTGAAAGAGGACTGTGTGTGCATACCCTACCTGTGAATATTACGGTACCTTGCTCAAATCAGGAATGAGTCTATATTTTGCATATGGAATTACTGCAACTGCCTGCAAATCTGGGAAAAAAGGTCTGCTTTTGATTCTTGGTTTTGGACAGGTTTGTTGCCCTTCAATGACTTGTATATAGACAGCAATATTTGGGCAGCGTAGAATATTCCTCTATTTAACTTACAGTGACGTACTTTCAAGAGTGCAGTTTTAACCAATTTTTTTCTTTTTGTTCTTGTTTTTATATTCAGTCCTACCTCCTGTACTTGTTCCAAGACACAGCGAGTTTAACCCTCACCTCAGCCTCCTTGCCAAGTTTCGAAACACTTCTCTGCACAGCGAGCCGCTGATGCCGCACAATGCCACTTATCCTGATTCTTTCCAGCATCCTCCATGCACTCCTTTTCCATCATCACCCAGCCACATGTTCTCTCAGTCGCCTAACAGCATCAGCTATCCCAACTCACCAGGAAGTTCTTCTGGACCAGGAAGTCCCTATCAGCTCACGGGTAAGAATGAGCTTTCAGATATCCTGACTGAGGCAGCTGAGTTTCTTGCCATGGGCTGGAGTCAGGTGCCAATTCTGTGTGCTTCCCCTATAGCTGTAGCTAAGACTGAACTGTTGGACAGGGTGGATTTGGAATGTGATTTCTTCTGACTGTCTCTTAATACTGGTTCCTAGTCCTTCTGAGTGGTGCTCAAGGGACTAACTGTTGTGGTCATCCCAGTGGATGCGATTTCATGATTACTGTAAGGGGAAATTTGAGGAGAGGACCAGGTGTGCCAGGCTACCTTGTGCCTAAAGCTGGCCATCCAAGCTTTTGATACAGTCCATGGAAAAGAACACTTGCAAGACCTACGCTAGGCACCTCTAATAAAGATTGTCAAGCTAGGGACCTCTAGAAACTCCATCAAGGAAGACAGAATAAAATCAGGAAATTGGTATGTAGAAATATTTTTTAATGTATGGTGATCCCACTGACTGTATAAACTTATACAGGAAATTAAGGTGTTTAACAGTCAGGATCAACACTTGCTGAAGCCACCAGGCAAATTCCTGTAATTTTGGAATGTGTTTCATTATATCCACAGTTCTGAGGTCATCAGTGTTATGTCACTCAGATTGTTTGCACTGTGAACTCCTTACTTAGTACTGCTCTAATTACCTCACATTTGACTATGCTTTTGCTGTTAAATAAACCAAGAAGGTGTCATGTACACAGCTGAGATCTGGCCTTAATATCAAAACATAGTTCAGATTCACTTCTGCACTTTGTTGTAACTCTGAAATAGTTTCTATCAATTATCTCAGCTTTTTCACAAAGATGAATTCAGGTCAGAATTTTGTAGCCTAATGTTTTAATGTCTTGACTACAAAGCATTTAAATTCATGTACCTAATGATATGCCTATTTTGATTTTAAGTGTAAGAAAGAAAGGTGTTTTACAAGGTATTTTTAGTATTTGAGCTTTCTTTTAAGCTGGGCAATTCCAACACAGTCTGATGTGTTGAAAGTGTTTTTCCTTCCCTCTCCATTCATTGAAAGGACTGTCATTCATTTCTTCTCTAGGTCTGTACTTCAGATTAAATCATGTTTAGCAACACTGAAGCTTTTCCTCAGGTAGTAGGACTTGTTTGTCTTCTCCCATCTTTTCTTCTCTTTTGTGTAATCAAGCTGGATTAAGTGGAGCTGGTCCTGACAGGTATATCAGGCCCATTCCAATGTAATGACTAGTGCATTTAACTGAACTTGGGACCTTGCAAAGTTACTTAAAAATGGAAGTGGCTCAACCTGAGCTTCAGTGTATCACAGCACGCAGCATGCTGATAAACATAATTTGCCTGTGTAACAATCAGGGATGGAAGACTATGTAATGCAAACTGGAGTTACATCAAGAACCTTGAGTGGGCTTGGTTTGACCAAGTCAACAATGCACATTTCTACATCTCATGCAATTCTTTATACTCTCTCTGTGATCAGTGGAGAAAAACAAGCACTCCTAGAACAAGATGCATTACATCTTAAGGTATATGTCTAAAGTAGCTGAGGTGCACCATGTCTGCAGGTGCCTCTTTGGTGAGTATAAAGAAAGCGTATGGTTACTGACTTAGGTATAGACATTCAAAATACCTGTATGACCACATTATATTCCTTTCTCTGACTTGTACTCTTTTCCATTCTTTCTTGATTTTGTTTTACTAGTTTAGCTTGTTGCATTTTCTGTGGAAGGGTTATGCCATCTTATATGTTAGAAATATCATACCATGTATGAAATGCCTAAATCCTGAACAATGCTTAAATAGAATGACATTCCTGTGCAGTACTTACTTGGAAGAGTCAACGTTTGTCTTATGAGACAGTCCAAATTATCCACTCTGGGTGAAGTTGCTCTGTTTTGAGGGACATCCAACAGACCCTGAACACAAGAGGAAATTTCAATGTGGAACCAAGTTAAAAAGACTCCCTAAAAAGACCCTCAGTCCTGCAAGTTTGTATATGGCTATACGTTACACATAAGCCCACTGAGTTTCTGTTCAAATGAATAAATCTACATGCTATAGTGCTTATGCAGTGAATGTCAGGGCTTTCTAATATGTCCCTTCTTCGGCTTTCTAAAGCCTTCTGACTTGCTTGAGAATTCCCACTGTTAGTGTCACCTTCTGTTTTCTAGCTTACTGTGCCATAAATGAAACAAATCAGGAGCTAGGCAGATTGTGAGTTGATACCTCTTTTACATGTTTTTTCATCACTTCTGTTGCTCTTTGATAGGAAACTGAACAAACCAAAAGAGGGACTGCCTTTCCTTGAAGGACAAAGGTATAAAGGACAAATCTAGAGGAAGTTTTGCCAAGTCTGATTTTAAAGCGTAAAGGCTCTTCCATAGGCTTTTTTTATAGCCTGTGAAAAAAAGAGAGCTTTCTCTCAGAGGATCTATTGAAGCTTTTGCTTTTAAATCATCCTCTTCAAGTTTTCTATTTGTGAGAGAAGTCTGGAACTGAATGATCAAACTGCATTACTTTCTTAGGGTAACAACTGTTGTTAACGGAGAGATTGACTAGATACCGGTCCATCTTGACAGCCTGCCTTCCCATCCTCTCTGAACGTATAATGGTCTTAATCTGAAGACAGAAAAGAGGTCAGGTTCAGAGTTGTGCTGTTTCCAGCCCTTCTTGGCTAAACAATGCTGAAGAAGTTAAGTATTCACTAGGAAAAGCCAGGGAGAATTTACCAGTGTATTGATTTAGGTGTCCTTTCTTTTCTTTCCTTCTTTCTAACAGTGGAAACTCCACCTCCGCCTTACCATGCAAGAGAGCCTCCAGGAACCCACAGTGGGCGGTCAATGGATGCAATAGCTGAAAGTCAGCTAGTGCTGTCTTTGCCCAATGGAGGTAAATCTGCTGACGGAGAAGCTGAAAGTAAATAACCATTTATATTATTCTTAAAAAAATGAAACAACTATTAAGCAAATAATTTTTATTTGAACAAGAAGGTTCAGTGATCTGTCATAATAGGTTTCAGAGAGTTTCCTTATAAGGCTGTGTACTAGACCCACCCATTAGCCAGCAAAATAGGTTGATTCAAGAATTTAGTGAATTATGTGTGAAGTTTCAGAGTTTAGTCCTTATTTGCATTCATGAACGATTACATTGGAAAGCTGTTAATGAAAGCAAACACTGTTATCAGCATTGTAAAGACAAAGATATCTAATCAAGGGTAGTGAGGCAGTATAACACAAGGGCATGATAAATATCAGAACTGATAAACACCTTCAGTTTTGGGTTTCAAGTACTTTAAAGCCTTGTGGTTAGGACCTTTTTTACTACCATCTTTGTATTAATATTATATTACTGTCTGGCTAGAAAATGACATGTTCTAGTGAAGTACAAAGAGATTTTTATGGATGGCCAAGCTCTTTGTCCTCATATAAGAATGCTTTACTGGGAGAGGGCATGGGTCATCAGAGTAGAAGGGTCAGGGATCTCCTTGCTTCCCTCAAAGCAACTTCATGACCTCTCCAACATGGTCTGTTACTTCCAGACTAGTGCTGGCAGGTCATGCCTCCGCCATTCAAAGCCTGTTGCTACAGAGCAGCAAGGGGAAATGGAGTTTCTCAGCTGGGTTTTCTTTTGGCTTCCTGCTACTGCAAAGGAAAAATCACCATTGTTCTTTTAGTCCAGCATACTGTAGTGCTAAACAGATGTCTTTTGTGGCATAAGGACTGAACACGGTGCACACACATGCACATTAAAAAAATAATGCCAGCTGTCTGAAACAGTGAGGAACATGTATGTATCACAGAACTGGAGCTGAAGAACGATGAGGGTAACAGTGCTAGTTACAGATGAATATACAGAATGGCCAGATAATAACTAGTTATCAGGCATCAGTACTTTTAAATGAGTTAATGAGATACTTTAATCTCTTTACCATAATTCATCATCCCTAATCATTGCCCTAGTGAGCATCGGTTAGACGTTTGTTAGAGGTTGTGCTTAGAGGTGCTCTGGGGCCAGGGGGCTCACATGCCTGTGTTGGACAGGCAGGATAAGGTTTCCCACTAACTCCTGTAGGACGAATGCGGCTCAGAGATTCTGTTACATTTTTGAGTCTTTTTCTGTCTCTGAGTTAGAAAACCTATGCAGGGGAAGATCCAAAAGCAATGACCCTACTGACATTTCTGCTTCTGGTCTCACATGGAAGTGGAATGCCCCAAACCATGCAAAAATTGGGGGAAAGATTGATTACTTCTGAACTTCAGAGTTTAGTATTAGGCTGAAGGCTTAGCTCAGTTTTGACTTGATTTGAGCCCATCTGTCACCCCTAGCTCCTGCTAGTGTGCAGAGCAGATGTATCTCTTACTATTTTCAGTGCAGAGATTAGGCCCCAGTACAGCAAGGAATGTCTGCATGTGCTTAATTTAATGCAGTGGAATTATCACTTTTAAGAACAAGTGGGACTCCTCAGAGGCTTATAGTTAAGCTGGTATACCAGTGCTTTGCATGTTTGGGGCTTCATTCATAAAATTAAGAAGAAACAGAAGCTGCTGTTGAGATAAAGCATGATAAGTGACTGTTTAGATGAAGAGCTGGGGAGGGGGAGAATGGGGCAGAGGGAGAGAAGGAGGAAAGAAAACAGAGACTGATTGTTTAAAAAATAGTAGGGACCTGAGCAGCTGATTAATTTTATTTCCTACAGACTTTCGGCCTGTTTGCTATGAGGAACCACAACACTGGTGCTCAGTTGCCTACTATGAACTCAACAACCGGGTAGGGGAGACTTTCCAGGCTTCGTCTCGAAGTATCCTTATAGATGGATTTACAGATCCCTCAAATAACAAAAACAGATTCTGCCTGGGACTGCTCTCAAATGTAAACCGTAACTCTACTATAGAGAACACCAGGAGACACATAGGAAAAGGTAAGAGAAAATCCTTTCTTCTCAGGAATATTCAGAGCTTGAAAGAACTGTACATCGCATTAACAAACCCAGCTGACTTATTAGATGTGCTTGTCTTAAAACCAAAGCTCTGAGTTTACTTCTGAAATAGAAGAAAAGCATCAGATTCTTTTCTGACTGGGTAACAATCAGCAGAGTAGATCCTTACAAAAGCTTGGACAGCGAAGAGAAAATGTTGTTTATAGTTGTGTGTTCTAATTTAGCAGTATGTATTTTCATTTTATTTATTAGAGCTTCTGGCAACTGGGAATATTGCCATTGACATGCCACTAAAAGGATAATTGCTGGTGCCTCAGGTCTGGTTCTCCTCCCACCAAGTAGCAAAGGGAGATGGATGAAACAGCAGTTGAGTTACTTGGATGAAAAACTCTACTGGGGTTGCCTTTGTAGCTTTTTGCTCCCTATCAGTCTGATTCCCTGCCTTGTCAACTTCTTGCTGTTAAAATTAGGTCTTGGGTTCTCTCTCAGCAGTTCTTCTTGTATGGTCCACTTCTGGTGTACATATACCCTGTGTATGCAGGGTATACTCATATACTACTGGTATATAGTAGTATATGAGTATATAGTATACATATACTGGTATATAGTAGTATATACTCATTTACTACTGGTGGCAGGTACAAGGAGACCACAGCTGGATGTGTGTGGCTACACACACTCCATCCCAACTCAGTAGGGCTGTGTAGGGCCTGATATTCTCCCAGAACTTACTGTTGTTTGTGGCAGTGAGTCAGAAGCCCTGTACGGGCCACTTCTCTGTGCAGATGGAGCTTTGCCCATTCTGGTATATCCAGTCTAGACTCATTATCTTGCCAACCCAGTCTCTCACCAGTAGCTGCCTGGGAATGAATTTCCCACTGTGCTAATTAACTCTAATTGTTCCACTCCTATTATCTTGTCAACCTTACCTCATTTCCCAGGCCTAGAGCACTATTTTAATTGGCTCTTGATAGTTTAGTGTTGAATGATTGAATACCGGGAAGCTCTGAGACAAATGTGGCATCATTTTTGCAAACAACACTGAACCTGTAGGCTAGCACAGGAAATGCTATACTTAGTTTTTGCTCTTTTCTCTGGAAAGGAAAGCACTTGTGTTGCAGATGCACTGTGTGAAGCCAGTATGATGCTAGAAGTGTCTGTTGTAGTAGCTTGTTGTGAGGGGTGGAAATGGGCTGTACACCTAGTTCTAACTTACTCAGAAATAAAGCAAAGCTTTTCTGTCAATATAAGCTGTCAGGGGGGTGTAGATCAAAGCTGAACCCAGCCCTAAACGAAGACTGACAAAAAATCCCAGTCAAAGCTGTCATTTGAGGATGCTACATCCTGTGACTTTCTGCCCCAAAAGAGGAAGAGACAGAATATAAAGAAAATGAGGTGAATGCTAGTGGTCCTCATCCATTCAAATCTGAAGATCTGTCTTCATTGATTAAAAGTCCTTTAAAGTCTTACTCTAGGAACCTGCCCAAGGGAAGGGAGCAGGTTGCCCAGAGAGGGGCTTAATATATCAGAGATCCTTAATTTTACTGTTCTTCCCTGGTTATGCAAATCTTAAAAAAACATGCCCAACTGGAGTAGAAGTGGCACCCTCAGGTCATAGGTTTGATTAGAGTATCCTTCTCATAGATGGACGGCCTTACAGGGCTATACGAGCTCCATCTGCCCGGGTTTGAAGTTGGAGTTGTCCTTCTCCTAGGATGGTTGCCCTAAGGCTAGTGAGCCCATCCTGCCCATGGACACACTTTGTCTGACCCTTCATTTGAGACCTGACTGGCATGGGAGACCCTACCGGAAGCATAAGCCACCACCAGCATAGCTCCCAACTTCACAAGGGCACGCAAGGTCTTTCCCCACGACAAGGGGGTGTCTGTGAAAGAGGGCACCAGTACAGGCCTGCAGAAGAGCACAGAACAGCTCCCAAAGTATGTAGTTCAAAGCCATGCTAGACAGATGAAAGCTACTTAGATGGATACAATTGTCACATGTTAACAGGGTAGAAAAAAAGAGTGAGTAAACAAGATTAGCTGAGTAGGATAAGGATATGTGATTGAATTGTCATCTAGTGTATCAGCGTGAAACGGTTTCCTGGAAATACCACATCAAAGCTAAAAACAATCCAGAACACAATGCAACATCTACTAGCAATTGGACCTGTTTCAGCAGTTAGACTTCAAGGACAAAAAGGGGACTTCTGATCAGAGAGTCAAAAAGATGTGGATGCTGGGAAACTGATGAATTCTCAGTTTCTGCAGAGAGCAATGAAATCCCACTAAAACATATGAACCCTTGATTTGGCCTTCTACAAACATGTATTAAGCTGTTTGGCCTCCTTGAGGGTGCTTGCCTCTGGTGGATGAATACCAAAAGAATGGAAATACACACTGACATTTAATTAGTGCTTTATTGCTTTTAAAAAGTCCACAAGGGAAAGGCAGGTCGTAGCTTCTGCTTTCAGAGGTGACTTTGTCATTTTTCTCATGATGGGCAATGCCTTTGAAAGCATTCATCTTTTTTTTTTTCAGAAGTTGGGTGACTCTGGATACTCCAAAAAATCCAGCCTTTAAAACTTTTCACCTTAGCACCCAGAAGTGTGGTCACCCTAAATAGGTAGCTATACTTGAAGATTTGAAATGTAGTGAATATTTATGTCTTATTCTTCTTTCCCTACACTGTGTCCTCAGTCTTTATGTTGAAGATGGCAGAGTTCTGGAACAGGCTGCCCAGGGAGGTTGTGGAGTCTCCCTCTCTGGAGACATTCAAAGCCCCGCTGTACATGTTCCTGTGTAACCTGCTCTAGGTGGTCCTTCCTTGCCAGGGGGGTTGGACTACATGATCTCCAAAGGTCCCTTCCACCCCTAACAATTCTGTGATTTCAGAAAGCGATATGGAGTCCATTAAGGTCAGCTATGGCTTTTGTGTTTTCAGTCCTCCCCTTTTATCCATCTTCCACAGAAGGGAAAGGAGACCGTAAGTCAAGTAATAGCAGTGAGAGTGTGCAACTCCCCACGATGCCTGGAGCAGCTGGACTGGAGCTGACAGCTGGTGTAATGAGCTGTCATCTCACCCGTGTTTCCAGTGCAATACTAGCGTGTGCTCTGAGCCACAACCCTGCCACTCACATCTAATTTGAGATCTCGTGGGTGCATAGAAGTAAAAGTCAAGTGATGGCTTGAAGACAGACTTTAAGGTTCCCATCTGAGTCATCCTGAAAGTCTATGGGAGAGTATTTTTCCCAGATTCCTTTCCCACTCAACCTGCTTTTCCCCAAGTCTTTCCCACTTACGTTTAGAAGCCGGTTTTGTCCTAAGGATGTGCTGCTGCCCCTTGCTGTCATGACTACAGAATGATGAACAGACTGGGAATATGTAGCCAGTCTTTTTTGTATGAAAGACAAATGAATAAAACTAATTACAACTAAATTATTAAAGCATAGTTATCACTAGCTCTGTAAGCAGGCCACTGAGACTCTGTGAACATGTGCATTTGTATGTAAGGGTTTGACTGCCATACCTGGGAATAGAGAGGAGGATTTTATTTTCCTGTAGTGGTGGTTTTTATGAGAACAAAGATATGAGCTCTCCCACCTCTCTTGGCAATGGGAGGGGTGCGTCTCATCTAATCCTTCCATGGGAAGGGTGAATGTCTAGGAATCTTCACATGATGACTTGTCCTCTTTCAGGGTGTGGTTTCATGCACGTTTAAGCAGTCCGTGTCCCCGTTGCCACGCTTGCAGTGATGAAGATCTCCCTTCAAATAAATCTTTTGTTTTGTTTTGTTTGGTTTTAAGTTTAGTTGTTGGTTCAGTTCCCCAATCTGGATGGCTGCCCAATCCTCAGCCATTGCTGGCAGCATGAAAGCTGACGTGGGAAGAAGCAGCAGGGGCAGGGAACAAGTGAGCCTTTTTCAGCACCTGCACAGACTTCCATCAGTTCAAGCTGGCTGTGAGCCTGCGCTCTGTAGTGGACTGAATGAATCATCTGGTCACAGTGCTTCCCATCATCTATCAACTAGGGAAGTCACCTGCACAATTAGCTTACACAAGATCCCTAACTTTACAGTTGCTGAATTAGGCTAAGATAAATTCTCCCACCAATTTAGGTATATTTTCATGTATGCAGACATTCTGGGGGGAACAGAGTCTTTGATGGGTAGAAATGCTTCCATTTTAATTTCCCCAAGGCACAGAAAAAAAAAGAGTTAGTTTCAGTTAGTCACTTAGTTGGGCACTGAAAGTCCAGAATCAAATCAGTCATCTTGCTAAAGGTCACTTTGAACAGGATCTGATGAGTAAGTCACGTCATGTAAATGCAAATACCTGGTTCTGATGTGATAGATAAAGCAAAATGCAGAAAACCTATTTTAAGTACACACCATGCATGAGATAGAATCCTGTAGTAAAAAACTAGCGTGCAATGAAATTGGTCTTGGTCAGCCTGCACGTGCTCAACAGTGAAAATACATTTAGATGAGTAATACAGAACAGATTTGTCACTTCTCTTACAGTTTTGATCCATTCTTTGCATATGGTTGACATATGTTTGATACTTAACGTGTGTATGTATGTGTGTGCCTTGTTATACTGTGCTGTTGGGTTAAAGAAGTAAACCAACCTTCCACTGAGAAACAAAGAAAAACATCATATGATAAGACTTTTTTCTTCTAGACCAATACCTCAAAATAGCATTTATGGCGATTTCCTCTTAATGTTGGTGGGTCCATTGTACAGTTACATGGATATGCACACAGTTTACTTACTGTCTTTTAAAAGGCAGTGTGTACACACTGAGTGCCTGGAATGATCCTGGACTTGTATGTAAAATAGTTAAAGACTTGCTGGTGTAAAGTGTGCTGTGAACAATGGAGAAACAATACACATTATTTCTTCTTTTTCGAGGTGTTCATCTTTACTACGTTGGTGGGGAAGTTTATGCTGAATGTGTCAGTGACAGCAGTATTTTTGTGCAAAGCCGTAACTGTAACTACCAGCATGGTTTCCATCCAGCCACTGTCTGCAAGATCCCCAGCGGCTGCAGCCTCAAGATCTTCAACAACCAGCTCTTTGCCCAGCTGCTGGCTCAGTCAGTAAATCATGGTTTCGAAGTGGTGTATGAGCTGACCAAGATGTGTACTATTCGAATGAGCTTTGTTAAAGTAAGGATTCTTTGTTTTCTCTTGCATTTCTGAAAGGCAAATCCCATCACTTTGATGCAAAACTAGACCTCATCAAATCCTTCCTAAGTGGGGATTTAGACACCCAACTTGCAAAAAGCAATTCAGACTGCCTGTTTTCCACTATTGCTTTAAACTTCTAGGTGCTTAAAATCAATAGCTTTTGTCAACCTGGAAATTTTTTAGTTTCCAAAAGCTAGGTATTCCATAGCTTTCATTTGTGGAAAATAAGCAGACTGCATGGTGATGTTCTCCCATTGTTTACATAAAAGCCTCAACTTAGAGGGGCTTAGCAACATATAAATGTAGCACGTACCTTAGGCAGTTGCTATCTCTGCTATTATTACTGATTTGCAATAGAGCTTGGTAGAGCCATAGATCTGAAAAGAATGTCCTTACGTCTCTAGACTAGTTTACAGTCTCACCATGACTATAGACAGGTAAATATGGTTTCAGTCAAGAAACACTGGGTTCTCCTTCAGCCCCCACTGAGTTTACTGGGAATTGCGACTCTTTGTCACCTGTCTCATCCCTGGCAAGAGATTGTCTTAATTTTTGATGACATTCACTCTGGCCAGCCACAGGACCAGAAGGGCTTCTTGCAAGCAGAATACAAACCCCAAAAGAAAATCTGACCTCCCTTCTGTTATTTGGAAGAGACAGGAGACCACCGAGGCCATTACTTGTTTTATGTCTTTCATATATGAACTTTGAAGCCTGCTTTGTGTGTGATCTATCAGTCTTAAGAGTGAGTTTCTTAAATCTTCTGAATGGCCTTCTCACCAAAATGAGATCTTAACTCCTTTTGGCACTTAGGATTTACTTAGGTGCCTGATGTAGCATCTAAAACCCAGGAAATGGTGAGTATTTCAAGGCTGTTTACAATTGTGCTAGACTACTTCCTGTAGTGCTGTAGGGGAGAGCTGGCAGCGATGTTCAGCCTGCAAACTAGAGAAGCTGCACCATTAGAAGCCAGTTGGTCTTGCTAGGTCCCATAAAAAGTGGCTTGAGTATGTCCCTTTGCCTTCAGGTGTGGTTTTATACAAATGACTGAATCAAGATGATTGAATTCACATCTAAGATAAGATAAGCCTTGAGGCTTGAGCCCAGTTCCCTTACATTCTAAAAGTAGATGAGTTGAGTCGCACACAGCTTTCTGGTCTGACTCTTTCCAGTTATCCTTGGGGATGTCTCTCCTTAACTCTATGAGAGCATTAAGAGTGCTCTGTAACTTCTCCCAAGAGTCCAAGCCAAAATCTTCCTGCCTGTGACCAAGCTGTTAACTTTGTTCTTGAGAAGGAACTGACATCTTGTTCACACGCAAGTGTTACAGGAAAAAAGAAAGCAAGAAACCCAACAAACAGCATTTTGTTTAATGGGAGACATGAATGGGCATGTTGTTTGTAAAGGCAGTGTAGCCAGTTACACAATATTTTCATTATATCAGCAACTCAGGGGCAGTCTCTTTGATGTGTTATCTGCCTCCATGCCCAGCATGGCAGCAGAAATGGTGATGTTGATGCATTAAATAATGTTGCCGCCATATTATCACCTTGCTTTTTTGAAACAATAGCAGCCACTATAGTGCCTGGGGCACCAGAAAACCAGTGCAAGGAGTCATTTGCAACCTTTTCCCATGACCTTTGGAAAATGACTATGCAAATCTCATCTTGTTTTCTTCCTGGCCTGTGAAAACTCTTTCCTGTTCTCAGTCTTCTCCAGTTACTTCTCTCCTAAGGTGTGAGCCCCAGTGTATTCAGTCTGGGGACAGGAATGTCCCTGGGTGTTGGGTATGCAGTACACAGAGGCGCAAGTTTTTCTGTCAGAGCCACACACCAAGAGCCCCTAAGTGAATGACAGTCCTGGGGCTTCTCCTCTGATTCTTATTCAGACACTGCTGGTTACCTAGAGCCCATAGGGCAAACCTTGCATCCTACCCCACTGATGCTTCAGCTACCAGCTGGGAGGCAGGGATGAGTAGGGACCAAGATGTGAGAAACTTGCCAGGGCTGTATCATCTTATGGAGGCAGGACATGGGACAAAGAGATGTGAAGGTCCTGTCCTCTCTGATAACCTTCGTGTGCCCATAAAGCAGCTGGGAGGAGGTCAGCCCTCAGGCAAATGTGAGTTCATCATCAGTGAGATCAGACAGCAGTTTCCATACACTGAATGGCTGCTGTCCCCTCTCCATAGATGAGGCAGCTGAAGCACAAAGTTTCTCTAAGGTGAGGTGTGAACCCAGCAGCATTCTTCTTACCACATTTTATCTAGGTGTTCCTGCTCCAGCAGGGGGATTGGACTAGATGATCTTTTGAGGTCCCTTCCAATCTCTAACATACTGTGATACTGTGATACATTTCCCCAGGTCTTGGGGCTGAGAGGTCAACCCAGCAGCCTTGGCCATGCTGCGAGGCAGCCCAGTGGCTGGAGCCTGGGCTGGAGATGGGAAGGACTGGCAGGAGCAGCAGGATTGCTTAGCTCATCTTCACTGTGCCAGAAGACGCATTTCTGGTCTCCCCGTGGGGGTATCAGTATCCTCTTCCCACCATCTGCATGAACCACCACCACAGCTTTGCAAGTGGTTCTCATTTTATTTCCTCATTTCAGCCTCGGGCATGCAGGAGGCTACCTGCAGCCCAAGAGTGAGTCACAGGGCTGCTGCCCATGTCCTGTGCGCAGAGCTCCATCCGACACCGGGATTACCTGCCTGTAGCTGCCAGCAGAGGGAGGTGCCCAGCCATCTGCACTGCCTGGCTCTCCAAACCGGGCAGGCTGTGATTCCAGACTGCCATTCCCATTCATCTGGACTTTCTGTCCTGCCAGTCACAGAGGTGCACCGACTTCTCGTGTATTTTCCCTGCAATTGGGTGCTTCAGACTTCACAACCTCAGAAGTCTGACCGGGCTGATTTAAGTATTTTATGCAAACATTCCCTAAGTATAGAACATTAATTTGAGGTGTCTGGAACACAGGCCCTTTCTAGCCTGATAATGGACTGCAGGTCAGAAAATGCCACCTGTTTGAAAGTATTCTTTGGGCTTTGGTGGGTCCATACCTTACTCTTCTGCTTTCTTGCCCCTTCATGAAGTAGCAATGGATTTTATCCAGACTACTTATTATGGCATCTAGTTTCGGTGTTGATCCTAGTTTTGCAGGTGATTGTCTGGAGACATGGGTTCTACCAGCCTCAGTTTTCTGAGTTGTTCTGCACTTTACGATGTATGCACCTTTGGCAGACATCAGTCTTAATATACCTCCATGTCCTTGTTTCATGACATGAATATCACCCCCCCGACTAGCCTAATGGCAGGTAAGACTCAGTCTCTCTGATCAGTGGCCCACAAATGAAGAGGCTCATCCTGCAGTGGGACTGTGTTTTGCATATTGCCCTATGGAAAGCCAAGTTCAGCTCTGGCAGTGAGATGACGACAGCTGTTGAGCTTCCAGACTTTTGGCTGTGACTTGGATGTCTTGCATTGCTGTGAAATCAGGCTGCCTACTTCACAAGCAGACAGTGTGCTTGCCTGAGGCACAGGGACTTCTAGTTTTCTTTTCTCCCTGCCAGAACCTCAACCCCATCTTCTGCTAGACACTACATATCCCTTACCTTCCTAAAAGAGCTGGAGAAATTACTGCAGGACTTCCTACAGTCGGCAGCTGGGAAAAGAAGCTTTTCCCATGGGAAAAGAGGACAGAGAATAGTTTGGGTTGAAAAGGACCTTAACAATCATCTAGCTCCAAACCCCCTGCAATGGGCCAGGACACCTTCAAGGATAGAAAAACTATGGAAAATATCTACACATAGGTTACGTGCGCTACATACGAACCTTGCCAGAGGTTCCGATAAATACCTAGAACTTCCAGAGGTTCAGAAAAATACCTAGAACTAGTCTCAGACTTGCATCTCTACCAATAAATGAAGTGCCTAGGGTCATTCCCAGTTCTTATTAAAGTGTTATGACAGGGCCTGGTCTGCTTTTCATCCATGCCAGACAGCAGTCTGGCAGGCTCTCCTGGGCACGTCTCCAGGGTGTGAACAGCAGGGACCATTCCCCATAGGCTTGTTTGCAGACAGCTAAGCTTGGAAGCAGGCCTTTCCATGCTATGTGGTTTCAGCACCTGGAAGTGTAACATTTTCATTTAATAGCATTATTAAATTACAGCATAATAGTATAGAGGGTAACTATGGTAACAGTGACCTTAAAAAGGGGCAAAGTTTCTAGAGAAAATGATCCCTAGGACAAAGCATTAAATCATGGTAACTTGGGTGGTGGCCCATCTGTATCTGTGCTAGATTAAACTGCACTGCAGTTGTGATTTAATGTTTCTGTTTTTAAAAATCCCAAACACCTCACCTTTTGGTTCTTTGATGCTTTTATAGGGCTGGGGAGCAGAGTATCATCGCCAAGATGTTACAAGCACGCCCTGCTGGATTGAGATCCACCTGCATGGACCATTGCAATGGCTGGATAAGGTGCTGACACAGATGGGCTCACCTCATAACCCCATCTCCTCAGTCTCTTAAGAATCATCTCTAGAATTCCCTTAGGATGGATGCTATTGCAGGCAGTGGCTTATAGGATTTCCAGTGAACAGAAGCTTCTATATGTAGATGTATGTAGATGTAAATATATCTATACATAGTCTATGCTCCTTTTTTTATTTCCATGCTATGTTTTGTGGTTTCTAGTTACTCTGATGCCAGTACAGTAAGTTTAGAAATTCAGGTATAGCATATCTGTTCTCTAGTGCAAAATAAGCCAAATTTCCTGCAAAAGTGTCAAACATTTCCTGTGAGCATCTTCATTCCCCAGCCAAGCCAGTAAACGGTGCAAATTGTCAGCACTTTCATGCAGATTCAGAAACCTGGCTGTAGCTGTTCCTAGTAGGTGAAATTCACCCCTCTGCAGGCAACCAAAGTCAGATCTCTGCACCATTCATATCCATTTTACATCCTAATGTCAGGTCTAAAAGAGGACCTTAGGTGGTGCACACCACGATGACTTTCATCCAGTGAACTGAAGGACTAAACTGCAATTCCAGTCTGTCTCCCTACTGCAAAGCACAATGGGACAACAGATCCTCTGAGGAGCCCTGGGGTATCCCTGTCTCCTGTAGGATTTGGCAGGAAGAGAGAGCCCTCTGGACGCGTTCAGCACTGGAGCTTTATTGGAGCATTCTGGACACATCCAAGTAGTCTGATACTTTTAACACAGTAGTGTATGGTACTGCTGCACCGAAAAGCAACAAGCTTCTAAGGAAAAAAAAAAGAAAAAGAAAATTTGAAATATATGCCTGTAAGTTTAAAAACCAGTTAACTTCAGTGATTTTTTGCAAAGTACATACTTGCATATGTTTCTAGCATGTAAGCTGAATCCTATCCATTATACAGTATTGATGTAGCTTGTTTTAAAGTTAGGACTGTCTGTAGTTAGACTACTGTGCTGATATCAAGTGTATGTCTGAAAGGGACTTGAACTGTGATTCAGAAAAGAGAAATGAAGTGTGCATTGAAAAACTAATTACTATATCATTCATCTCGGGATAGTCTCTGTACTGGGAACAAGAAGCCCTACGCTCAGGATGCAATGAGGAGGAGGTGGGAGTCAGCCACATCCACCCCAGTGCTGGGCCAGTCCTTAGGATCTGACTGCAACGCTCAGGTTTGATGGAGAGGGCTTCCCTGGCAGTCACTTCACACATCCCCATGGATGGTTCCTCATCTTAGATACAGGCTTCAGCATTTGCAGCACTTTTGCCTCGCCGCAGAGGATGATGTGATAGTATAAGCCACAACCAAGCCAAGAGTGAATCTATCTGCAGAACCTTTCTTAAAAGGTTTATGGTCCTTCTGTAAGCAGGGAAACCTATTGCCCTCACCTGCATCCACAGAGCCCGCCTTGCAAAATGCTGTTCACTTGGTAACCTTTTCTGAGGAGGCAGGTGATGCTGTTATTATGTTTTGATGGTCCTCACTACCTTGCTTAAGGAGTAGAGGGTTATTTCTTTCCAGGCATAACAGTTCACTGAAAATTATTTTGCTTTAAGGGTCAGAAAGAGCGATAACTTCTCCAGTCTTATTCCTCCTTAGAATGTAACAGAAATATCCCGAGGAAAAAAAAAACCCAAACAAACATTTTACAGAATGTTTATTTTCTTCTCGCACAATATCTGGTGCTACACATTTTACTGCATAATTAGAAGAGGATGCCTGAAATCACATAATCACATAATGAAAAGGAAATACCATTCACTAGAAAGACTTCCCATATGTTTTAGATGCTGTGTAATACCTGTTACGGTGGTAATTATGAACAGAGCAGAAGAATCAGTAAACTAGCAAAGTGACTTCATTTAATGAATCTTCAGCTGCCTGCCGAATTTGTAGGGCACAGAGGACACATTATTGAGTCTGAGCAGTAATAGCAGGTTTTATAGGAAATCTGTAAATACAATGAACCCTATTCTGTCACCATTTGAGATCAGCAGTGTCACTGTGAGATAGAAAAGCTTTTCAGTCTCTTGCAGCAATGAATTCCCATAATAATGTTACACAGAAATTCCAGGTGTGCCATTTATGGTTTAGCAGACTTGAAAGAGATCAGTAACGAAAAGAGTTGTTTTTCTCAGCTCCCTCTGTCATCAGTGTCACTATACTGAAGTACTGGTAATACATTTTTAAGCATATTATTGCATCTTTTCTCCTATAACTTCTCTGTGCTTTTCATGTTGTTATCCCTTTGCTTTCTTGGCACCTAAGGACAGAGAATCACCTCTCCTGTCCAGGATCTAGCTCTGTCATTTATTCTAGATTCTTACTTGCCTTTTAGGCTGAAACCTCCTTCCCTCTTAGTACAGACAGAAGCCGATGGGTTGCTTTTAGACCTTCCTAGCATTGTCATCTTCCTCACAGATAGCAAAGGGAGATGTTCTGAGGCACATCTGATCTTGGGCAGCTCCTGCCATTGGCAGTTTCCTGCCAACGCAGCAGAGGAAAATTGGATGGCCAGTAAAGAGAAGCAGATTCCTGTGGGGCATCATTCGTTTCATCATAAGGCAGGTATTTCAAGTAGATGAAATACACTGCTCTCTGGGCATGCTTATGTCTTCCCCTTTGAGTATTAGGGGAACTGAGGGTGCCTCAACTCAAATGTGGACTGCTACATTGGACATAGCAGTCCACATGATCAGGTGAGTGCACCCAAGGGAAGGTGTGGTGACTTTCTCAGCATAGTGATGCTTGCTTGGTAAGTGTCTGTGTTTCTTGAATGGAAGTTGGTAAACTCGGAACATTTTTTTAATTTCTTGTATGTCTACATTTATAGTAATCCTCGCACCAATAGGATTTGGCTTTAATGCAGTCCATACGTGCATCTTATTAAAGGTAGTCACCTTAATACTCTTTTACTAGTAAGTAAAGAGGCATTTCTGGAGCATGATTCTTCTGTCCTATTTAAAATACCTGCATTAGGATGAGATGCATTTCACCAAATTTAGCTATTTGCTGGAAGTTGGACTGAAGTACCTGATTCTGGGCAATCCAAGTCAACAGCCATCTCAGAGTTGTTAGCTTTTGGGAAGGCTGATACCACTGTGAACTTCTTCCCATTTTGGTGGCCTCTAGGGGCTTTGTTCACTGTATGAAATGCTGTACAAACACACAGCAGCTGACAGCTCCTTCCCAAGGGAAGGGAAGAGCTCACATCACAAGGGAGAAGTGGTAGCAGTAGATGAGGCAAACAAGTAAATAGGAAGATGACCCCTGCCCATATACAGTAATAAAAAGAAAGACTATTATCCATTTATTCCCCTTTCTTTTTGAACAAAGTTTCTGCTTCAGGCTTCTCTAGTATATGTGAATTGAACTCAGTTAAAAATTCAGGTTTCTCATCATTTACAGCAGTGTAACTTTATATCTTACTCACATGTCTCCCCATTTTGGAAGGCAACATTTTCTGCTGAAAGGTCTTCATGAACCTATCAACCTGTAGTCAATTTAAAGCCTTTAAATGTACTCATTAATACTCAAGCTTTGGAGATAGTCTTCCTGAGAGATTTAAAACCACTTACAGGGAGACTGCTTAGTTGAAGGCAGAGGTTTTTAAATGTTTTTTGAGCTATCAACGGTTCAAACCTTCTTGAAGGTGTCTGTGGAGAAATACCATGCTCAGCAGGCAGTGGTGGGAGTTTGATCAGCAAAGGCATAAAGTATGTTCATTGTGGTACAGAGACCACTTGTTTTCCTATTAAGTGGTCAAAAGTAGGCTGCTTAATTGCTGCCAGTTGTACAGCAGCACCAGTATTAACATGCTATTTGCATCCAGAGGTGATGGTAGCAAATCCAGCACACTGGCTGCATGGAGCCATTCTGTGGTACTCCTGGTTGGATGGCTCAGCCCCATGACCTTGCACTGTAGCAGCTGATCAGGTACCGTAAGCAATGGTTGTAGCATTCAGACGTGCAGCATGTGCTTTGCCTTCCCATCAGAGGCTATGCCACAAGTGTCTACACCTCGTGAAAAAGTTTTGCCTTCCTGATAATGTATCAGAAACACAAAGGGGAACTGTGGCCCCAACTAACATCAAGTGGAGTTGAGGAAATTCCTTCGATGTCTCCCGCAGGTACTGAGTCGAGACTTTCATTGCCCTGAACAGCCTTCTCTGAGTGGTCCTGGCCTTCAGAGATCACTTCCAGTTCACATTGTTCTGTGGGGCTCTGCAGAGATTCAGTGATAACTGGTTGCCACAGGCAGAGATCTCTGTTAGAAGAGACAGTTTCAGGATGAAGCACGTTGATCCTCAGCTGTTTTTGCATGAGTTCAGTGCAGAACAGAGTTATCACTGTAGTGGTAGGACAAGGGGTAATGGGTTAAAACTTAAACAGGGGAAGTTTAGATTGGATATAAGGAGGAAATTTCTGTTAGGGTGGTGAGGCACTGGAATAGGTTGCCCGGGGAGGTTGTGAATGCTCCATCTCTGGCAGTGTTCAAGGCCAGATTGGACGAGGCCTTGGGTGATATGGTTTAGTGTGAGGTGTCCCTGCCCATGGCAGGGGGGTTGGAACTTGATGATCTTAAGGTCCTTTCCAACCCTAACTATTCTATGATTCTACTGTTCCCTTAGCATAAAATCAACACTGCAAACATCTCTCACTGTAAATATCTGCACCACAGAACTCTTAAAATGGAGAAGATCAGGCATTTGTGACTGTAACTTTCTGCCCTTGTTCTTTCTGGCTTACAATGCTCACCTTTTCTTATAAGCTCTATGAATCAGTAAGTCTCCAGTGACTGAGGAATTGCACAAACACAGGGATTTGCAGAGGCAGCTTGGGCAGAGAATTTGATTCTTTGGTGGATGGAAAGAATTTATAAAGAAGCTTGAATGAACCTAATAACTTGAAAGGAGTCTCAAATATAAAGGAAATTACTTGCTCTTAGAGACTTTTCTGGTGCAGCTCTAGCTTTTACGAATGCTTAAGCACTACCTGGTGCTCAACACAGGAAAGAAACATTATGTCATCTGTACTGTCTCTCCCTGACTCCCCATAAACTCACGTACTAAAGCAAACCCACACACAGTAAAGATTAATCAGTTGTAGGGTAATTAAATACAATTTTTCAAAGTTGATCAGTGCTGCCTAGAATATAGATTTATATAATCAGAAATGTGCTGAATGTAACATGTCTCACCTTTTCCCAAGCCAAAGGTGAGAGCTCTTGAAAAGCCTGGAGGGATGTCAAGTTAGAATCATAGAATCACAGAATAGTTAGGATTGGAAAGGACCTTAAGATCATCAAGTTCCAACCCCCCTGCCATGGGCAGGGACATCTCACACTAAACCATATCACCCAAGGCCTCGTCCAACCAGGACTTGAACACTGCCAGGGATGGAGCATTCACAACCTCCTTGGGCAACCTATTCCAGTGCCTCAGCACCCTAACAGGAAAGAATTTCCTCCTTATGTCCAATCTAAACTTCCCCTGT